CACTACTGAAAAGTTAAATTATTGTCCCTGCAAACCTATCTCCTCCTAGAGTTTTGAATCTACATCAATGAGACATATACCATAGGTACGTCACTTGGTCGTTTTTCCAATTTAGTTATAGTTTAGATTTTATTTTGCAAAAAGTGGGGGAGGGCGGGGGTAAAACCCACACCCACATAATTGAGAAATCCGAAAAAACCGCCAAGTGACGTTTTTAGATATGGTCTTTACGCATCGAATGATATGTGTCACGATGTCGTAGCTTGGAAATCCTAGGAGGAGATAGGATTTCTAAAGTACCCCCTTTTTGGCCGCTTTCTAAGAATTTCACGTTTTCTTCCATTTTTTTGAGAAATTCACACAAAAAAAGTCTTAAAATTCCGTTTTACATACGTGTACCAAATTTCGAATCGATCCGTCTGTAAATATCCGAGATAAAGTTGTCCCTAGACGCTCCCCTTGAACTCGGAGACCTCAGGTCAAAAAAAGCAGCTTCAGTAATACAGGACAGAAACTAAAATTTTTTTTAGATATATGCATGTCGTAGTGAGTGTTTGACAGGATATGAGAACATTGTGATGCGACTAGGGACAGAAATTAATCACATAATGAGTCAACGATAATTGCTATGATGTCACCATAGTTATAGAATATAATAGATAGAATAGAAGTGTCGGCACTGAAGAAATAGGCCCATGGCCTGTTGCCGATTCTTGAATTTTTCATGACTTGATTCACAGGGGATCCGGCCTTTGGAACCCGATCTTTCCATAGCTGACGATTGATTGAGATAGCTGCTGTACTTATTGCCTGGTCCGTAATTTGCTAGTCATTTTAAGACTGAACATATGCTCCTGCATAGCTTCGTCTAGTCTGTTCTTGAAGGCGTTCATATTCGGAGCGTCAACGATGCCATCAGGGAGGCTGTTCCACATGTCGGTGACTCGAAGAAAGAAGAAATGTTGAATTAATACATGTATTAATTCAACCATGGATGTCACCACCCAACTACTGTTCATTATATCGGTATGATAAATATCAGTAGTATAGTATAGTATAGTATAGTATAGTATAGTATAGTATAGTATAGTATAGTATCTTCGGCATTTAAAGAATAGGACAGGATAGGCCTGTCGCCGATTCATGTACTTTTCTTGACTAGACTGGCCTTTTGATCAGATCTTTTCAACGGACGGTAGATATAAAATAGATTCTAGATATCAGTTGTTCCGTAGGGTACGAGGCATTTTAAGACTAAACATATGCTCATAGCGAAACTAGTATACTATATCCATATATGTATCAGTAATTTGCCAGGAGCTAATATAGTCGCACGCGCAGGTATTTGTTTCATGAATCGGTTTTAGGTCATTCATGTCGTCACTATATAAAGAAATTGAGCCCCCAATCAAACAGCAATTCACTTTCCTCGACACATACTAACAGATTAAATTTTATATCGAGCCTATTATTTGTTATACTTTTTCATATATAATTTCTCTCCCCTAAGTGAAGAAGCATGAGAAAGACATATCTGACATTGATGCGGCCAGCCCTACAGTCAGGTACCAGAGCACAGCAACATCGGCGCTGAAGAACCAAGCTGGTCTGTCATCGATTTTTATAGTTTTTTTTGGCGATCTAATATACAATATCAAATAGACTTTCAATATCGCAGCTAGTATTCTACGATGTACCAGATATATATGACAGTTATTCTCATTACAATCAATATAATTCAGACCGCTATGACATCGCGTCTCTGCCCATCAACTGACCCATGATGTGGGCATAGATGACCAAATTGTCATTTCGATGGCTTCTCTTTGAATGCGAAAACGCTAGGCAATTAAAATACGCGAGCCAAAAATGTATATCTTAAATTAACCTTGAAGCCAACGCTCGATCTGCCATAGAATGTATTAGCATAGCATAGCTTGAATCGACGCAGATCATTGGACCAACGAGGGCCTGTCGTAGAGTCCTGTCGTCTTGTATTCAAACACAAACCGCTTATAAAATATTAATTAAACTCAGCCTGAGGGATTGAAACCACAGACTATGCAGGAACACCGTAATGCAGACAAGTAGCGCACTGCTTAAATTTTATAGTGCCAATGGTATATAGCCACCGCGGAAACAGGCTAGCTCACGTTCAGCACGAGTCCTGCATCCAGTCTCACATACGTCGGCCTAACTTCTTCTGGCCTACTCTACTTAAGTTGCATCGCATCTTCACATTCTCGCAGTTGCTTAGTTTATTCTAATTATGTTCAGGTGGGTGTTTGGATGGAAAGTCGGAACAACCAGAGAAGGTGGGGCCATGTAGAACTGCCGGCTTATCAGCAAGATAGCATAAGTGGTCATTGTGGATAGTAGACGCTAATGCATTATACACTTAACTTCAAAAGCTACTATATAGATATATGCTCTTACTCACTGCAAGAAATGTGTGGTGTAATGTAGATTTTGGTTGTGCTGGTCTTTGCAACGCATATTAAAAAATATCATGTATGAACCAATGCGCCATGGCAAGCATATCAACTCACAATGGGTTATTCGGTACTCATTAGGAAAGCTCAGTTCGCAGCGTGAACAACTTCCATCAATATCCACATTAAAATATGATAAAAGTATCTAGTTACAGATAAGATACAGATATGCAAACGCGGACTTGCAACTTTCAAACAGATCTTACAGTATGACCATCTTGTATCTTAAGACGAGGTGAATTGAGGTCTTGAGTGTCTGCTGGTGCATTCTAATATCCTTTTGGTGCCTTTAAAAACCCTTCTGTCTTCAATCCCTTCTGTTACATTCTGAATCACTTTAGGAACCTTTTTATTCCCGTTAGGTGCCGTTAAAATCCATTCTCTCTTCTTTTAAATCCCATCTGGTGCCTTTAAAAACCCTTCTTTCTTCTCATAAATCCCTTCTGGTGCATTCTGAATCACTTTTGGAGCCTTTTAATACATTTCTATTACCCTTGAATTTCAATCCATTGCTTTTCAAATCCCTCGCGCGATGCTCTCAACATGACATCTGTTGCTTTCTAATCCTCTCCTGGCGCTAAGCTGCGGATTTAACTTACCCAATTGAATTTCTTGATTGAATTAGTTAATTGAGGCAAATAGATTAAGTATAGATGCACTCAATTTCTATGCACTCAATGTTCAAGCGTAAGTTATTAAATCTATATGCAAACATTTCGCGTAGTATATTTGCATTGGTGAAATGATTGAAATCCATTTCAAGCGTTTTGCCGTTAAGTTAAAATATAGAATCCTAATTTCAGTGAATTGGTCTTAAATCATCATTTATGTAATTCTTAAGAAGTTTTCTCATTAGTGTTTAATATTAATACTAGAATACATAACTTGTCAACTATGCACAGTTGCCGTAAAATGTTTGCAATGGCACTCAATTTCGCGAACTTTAGTGTAGAGAACACTTCTTTTTTTGGTGTCGGTGTACGGCACTGATATATATAGTGAGCAGCTGTCCCGCTAATGTTCACTATTGTTGCATTGTTCTCCAGAGATTTTAGCTACTATATATGATATAATGTTCTCTGTGCAGAAGGTATATTTTATACATTCGTTGAATTGATTGCATTTCGGCAGGTTGCCTAATAAAAGGATTGGAAAACCAGATATTTTCCAGTATTACCCCAATTATACTGTATTTATGTTTAATTGCTACACATTCCTGCCTGATTCCCAGTTAGTGGAATTCCTGCCTGTTTTCAGTGGTATTCCTGCCTGTTTCCTAGTGGTATCACTCCCTGATTACCAGTGGTATTCCTACCTGTTTCCCAGTGGTATTCCTACCTGTTTCCCAGTGGTATTCCTGCCTGTTTCCCAGTGGTATTCCTGCCTATTTCCCAGTGGTATTCCTGCCTATTTCCCAGTGATAACACTGCCGGTTTACCAGTGGTAACACTGCCGGATTTCCAGTGGTATTCCTGGTTGATTCTTAATGGTATTCCCGAAGAAATATAAATGAAAGGATAAGTGTTGACATGAGTTGTTGTGTGCAGGATATGCAGGGCAGGTTTATACGGTCAAGACGGTCACTGCTGCTCGTAGCGGCCGTCTTCATCATGTCCCTGCTTGGGTATCGTCACAGTTTACAGCCTCCAAGTGAGTGTATTGCATTATATAATAACTTTTGGTTAGTTAAACTTTTCTGCTGCGTGCATTCAATTATTCCTGTATTTATGCTGCATCAACAGTCACCTTTAGAATAGCAATCAAAATTAGCAAACTCTCCAAATAATATTGATAAAAAATTTATTCGGCAAATTTCAGTGGTTTGACAGTTGAGATCTTAACTGTGATTTTTTTTTGTTCCCGGGCCAATAATATTTCGTCTCTGTCGAATTTCTTCAAGAATTTTTTTTTTTTCGTTGAAGATACGTAAATATGCCGCTGGGTATGAAGCAATTGCACCTCTCGCGCTCCTTTACTGAATAACTGAATGGAACTCAAGCCGGCAGGAACTATAGCTTTCAGTAAGACACATCGAAACTGCTGAATGACCATTCCAGGATTATTCGAAGGATTATTATTATTCCGTATTTCCGATTGCAGCTCCCTGATTGGTTGCCTCACTATCACCTCACACTGCTTTGCAGCGCCCTGATTGGTCGCGTCACTATCACCTCACACTGCTTTGCAGCGTCCTGATTGGGCGCCTCACTGTCACCTCACACTGCTTTGTAGCGTCCTGATTGGTCGCGTCACTATCACCTCACACTGCTTTGCAGCGCCCTGATTGGTTGCCTCACTATCACCTCACACTGCTTTGCAGCGCCCTGATTGGTTGCCTCACTATCACCTCACACTGCTTTGCAGCGCCCTGATTGGTCGCCTCACTATCACCTCACACTGCTTTGCAGCGNGAAAAGCTCATCATGGGATTCATTATCTGCAACTCACAGATCACCGTCGACCCAAGAAGCAAATGGTACTCTCCCCATTACATGTATGCAGGGGATCATTATCCCAATTATTTATCAGGCACGGCCTATATTTTGTCCAGCAGCGTGCTGACCCCTCTTCTTGAGGCCGCTATGCTCACGCCGCTCTTCCATCTCGAGGATGTCTACATCACCGGCATTTTAGCACAGAAGATTGGGGTCACGCCTCAGGATAGTGTAGACTTTTCATATTATACTAATCCAAGAGATCCTTGTCTCTACCAGAACCTATCTGTTGGTCATGATATGGAGCCTCTGCAGATGTACGAGTTATGGAACACGTTACACCTGACGAACATGACCACCTCTTGTGGGCCTGTCACAGCCGCTCATATCGGTTACACCTCGCCTCGTGAGTGTAGTGCCTCACCAGAGTCGCACACTCTTCTCTCGCGTTTATCTTCCTACTTCAATTGAACTGTATTCTATTTCAATAACTAACGCATTTATAGCTATCATCATAGAACAGAGCAGCCCGTTCATCTCTCTGTGTCGTTGCTCTAATATCATTCACAATATCATTCACTTTTCATTATTTCCCATTTCAATTCATATTCATCGTTGACGTGATATCTATCATCCGATTGTTTTGTTTATGTTTGCATTTTTGTCAGCACCGCAACGAGTTTCAATAGATGTTCCTTCCCTATCTCCATCTTTTACACAACGCTGCTGGCTTATTGTAAAGTTCATCATTTGAATATTGCCTGCAAGCATCATCAATGTTACAGTGTAAGGTGTTCGCTCACAGTTTTAACCGCATCCAACATACATCGAGTTGCTACCTAGAATGACCATCCAACATACATTGAGTAGCTACCTAGAATGACCATCCAACATACATTGACTTGCTACCTATAAATCTATAATGACCATCCAACATACATTGACTTGCTACCTTTAATGACCATCCAACATACATTGACTTGCTACCTATAATGACCATCCAACATACATTGACTTGCTACCTATTGACCATCCAACATACATTGAGTTGCTACCTAGAATGGTTCACTTGTGAGTCTCGTCTCACTCACTATGGTAATAATGCCCTACGTGATGAACACACCCCCTATCTTCACTGAAAATTTTATGGTGTTCAACGTTGATGTTATATCACTTCAGAATCTTTGCGTAATATTTTTATTCTTTTTCGTTGTCGCTCTTGCTTAATATATTTGCTGTTTTTTGTCCTCGAAATTTTATTAGAGGGTTTCTTCCGACAGAAATCGTTTTGCACAGACAAGCTCGTGTCAATTAATATCCTGACGGGTAGCCACGTTTTTAAAATGAGCTTAAGAACAGATATAAGTTAAAAGAATTTCACTGTCAGTTGCGTGAAATGATGGCGGTAAGCAGACCTCGTCGACTGGAGCATCAGCATGGAAGTTGTCAGGTCATACTTCATTGACAGTTTACTCGGCAGTTCCGGACGAGCGACGTGTCAGCTTACCACCTAATCTGAGACCCACGATCAAAAGATTGATGCACCCATGGTTGAATTAATGTATTAATTCAACCATGGATGCACCAGCGATGCCCGCAGAATATTTTACTTATCCCACAAATATCGTCATTTGAAATTGTAAATTTTGAGGAGAGCTGTCACCAATCAATCACTAATTGAAAGTAAGAAAAACTATTCATAATTGCAAGCAAATGCATTTCCGAGTACAGTTGCTGCTCCTTCGATAAACGCCATCAATAAGGAGTTAGAACTGGTTGGGCTTCTACTGCATTTGGTTGAAGATGTTTCGAGAGGGAGTATAGATTCGAGATGGAGTATATTCAAAGCTCACACGTTTTAGAAGGTGATAAGCCATTTAAGAGAACTGCGTCCAGGTCGAATGATTGTCATCTGTGAATTTGGCGGACATCATAATTCACACTCTCGACTCCTGTGATCAACTGTTGTAAAACAGTTGATGTAAAAATAGTAAATAGTAAAATGTAAAATGTAAATAGACCTTGCGGGTGTTTTCCCCCTAAAGTTTACTGATGTGATGACCTCCTACTTCGCTAAGGAAAATTTCCGCTAGATAGGATGTTTTCAATTGGCAGGCATTTTATCCTTGTGTTTGGTCACGCCTCTCTGGAAACGGGTAACTGTTTCCAGAGTGACCATTTTCCCCTCTAAGTAAGCCGTTTCTCGAGGGGAAACGGTGACCCGTTTCTCCTTTGGAAACAGGTCACCGTTCCAAGTTTACAAAGTGTCATCGCTTTCGAGGGACCGAATCCACATAATTTCCACCGATTCGACACTTCAGCGAACTCGCGTGCGAACTGGCCTGCGAACTCGAATGCAAACCTAACTTCATTTTCAACTGTGGCACTCATAAATCCTTCAATAATGAACGGATTTTATTCAAATTTTAAATATAAGTAGATAATATCAGTATTTTGCGGGGGCACTCATAAATCCTTCAATAATGAACGGATTTTATTCAAATTTTAAATATAAGTAGATAATATCAGTATTTTGCGGGGGGAATTTTTTCAGATTTTTACATCAATAACTTTTTATTGAAGGAGTTATGAGTGCCACAGTTGAAAATGAAGTTAGGTTTAAGTAGTTATGAGTGCCACAGTTGAAATGAAGTTAGGTTTTCCGTATTAACAAAAAAGTTATTGATGTAAAAATCTGAAAAAATTCCCCCCGCAAAATACTGATATTATCTACTTATATTTCAAATTTTAATAAAATCCGTTCATTATTGAAGGATTTACGAGTGCCACAGTTGAAATTGAAGTTAGGTTTGCATTCGAGCTCGCAGGCCAGTTCGCACGCGAGTTCGCTGAAGTGTCGGACCGGTATAATTTCCTCTTACCGAACAGATCATTTGTACAATATTTGCTGGTTGGATGATGATTTGATGATTTTACGGTAATTTATTTTACGTGCTCTCATTCTCATTTGTCACTATAGTAAAAATCGACGTATTTTGTATTCTCCCGCACGAAAAATTATTCATAATCTAATAAAATTACCGAAACTTTGTGCTAATGGATGACCGAATCGACACTTCTACGAACTCGCCTGCAAACTCGCCTGTACACTCGAACGCAAAACCTAACTACACGCTCAACCTAATCACTCATAACTCCTTCAATAAATAACGGATTTGTTTGAATTTAGTAATATACGTAATTATTATCAATACGCTGCGGTAGGAAGTATTACAGATTTTTACATCTATTCGTTTTCAATTGAAACGTATGAACGAGTCGGTTAATGGATGACGTACACTACTCTGGAAAGTACTTATATTATCAGTCTGCTTATATCGCAAGTTCACAAGGAATTTAAAAGCAAAGAAAACGCCAAGCAAATTCACCATATCGATATTGAAAACGTTTCGGAGTCCAGCTCAATCATCAGTTCGACAAACTAAAAATGAATAAAATTTTATTCATTTTTAGTTTGTCGAACTGATGATGGAGCTGGACTCCAAAATGTTTATATAATTCTAAATTTTCTGCCCGTTGAAAATAAAATCAATTATCTGTTAATTTATTTAGTTTTTCATTGAAAATAAGAAATTTTGCGTTGTTCAAGGAGTTTGATTTGTATTAGATTACCTACCTAAATTTATGCTCGGAGACAAAAGCGTTTGAACGCTCAGAAATTGTGAAAATAGTAATATCAAATATCATTTGGAATTAAATTTTTGCTGCTCGTGTTTGTTAGTGTATATTAGATTAGCTTAAAAGAAGATGAGCTTCTAAAATAAAGTCTATGGTACGGAAAAAAGACGACCCAAGTAACACATTTCATGCTCAGCTAAAGTGAAACAGCGATCGAGAATATTCTCGAGTGGTGAAGTAGTGACAGAAACATTAAATCATGACAGTTCTAGTCAAAACAATTCTCTCTCTTCAAAAGCAAAAAATTACGTTCCATGGGTAACTGCATGAAGTTTTGTAAACAAAACAGTGTCGGTGAGTGGAGGAGGTAGGGTAGCCGCATATGTAGTGTTATTGTTATGCAGCTGCGAGGAGCGTATAGCTGCTGGCATTTCATTGTCAAAACTACAGTAGATCGCGAATTTGTAATGTATGTATTTCTATCGTCGTAGTAGTCTGGTTAGTCTGGTAGATGTTTCTCCAGGTCCAGTATAATAAGAATACACAATCGTTTTATTTTAATGTTTTGATATAAGTATGTTTTTTTTATAATGTTAGGCTAGAGGGAAAGCTTGCTAAAAACTAGAAATACAATTTTAATCAAAGCATGTGTTGCTTCACTTGCTTGCACTCCTCAATGCAGTTCCAAACTTCCAGTAAAGTACACGCTGACTGCTCCTCCAGCTCACTGCTCAGATTCTCAGTGACTAGGTACAACTTAGTTGAACTTACAAGCGGGGTCACAAGCCCAAGCCTCCAAGGCTCCGATCACTGCTACCGGTACTTCAATTTCGACCAAACTTTGAATTGCTGAATGGTCGAGAAAAACAGTTTCATCTGTGAATTAATTATTTTGATGGCTATAGGTTGCAGTCTGTTGCATATATTCAACCAATCAACTCTAGTTTGTAATTTTTATGAAGTTAAGAACTTCATCAAGTTGTGAGATGGCAGTTGCTAATGCTAATTCAGTAATTGCCATTGGCCATTGCTTAGTACTTTAGCTTGAAAACGATCTAGGGTTACCAGTTACATTATGATTAGGCTAGGTACTTTATTTAGTCTGTAGATAATGTAGCAGTTGAAGTCCATCATCCATCCATCCAGATTTCAGCCTCATGAGTCATGATCCAAGACCAGAGTCCAGATGCAGGTGCTGTCAGTGTCAGTGTCAGGTGGCAACTCTCTAGGTTACTGTCATGTGCCATTGTTTAAATGATGCCTATAATGATTTTGTTTTTAGTACTTTGTATACTATACAGTATATTGGTATGAAACATTGAATGTTAGCTAATAGATATGTTAGAGACTTAGACTCTTAGAGTAAAAGTAGACCAGTTTTAGTTCATATTCAACAATTACTATTGCTTTTTTAATTAGTCTTGTGATTGCACAGCCACAAAGATCACATTGGAATTGGGTGCAACCTGAGCAACCATGCTTGCTGACATCCAGTTCCAGTCAAGACCTTTAAATTGGTCATTACTTGTTCACAATGTCTAAAAACTTTTACTAGTGTGAAGAAATTAAAAGTTCACATCACATTTGGACTTGGCAGTTAACAAAAAGTTCAATTATGAGATATTCATAACAATCATAACTTTAGGACTAAAACATTCAGTTACTGTTATACATGCCATTTATTATGATGTCAACATCCTAAAAAATGTAACTCAGTACTCACTGCAGTGATTGACAGAGAGTGCATTTTCTCATTGATGAAAATGTGAAGTCACGGACGGACGGACAGACATACATGGCAAGCACAATAGTGCATTTTTTCCATAAATGAAAGAATGCGCTAAAAAGAGAAACCTTTAGCACAGTCAACTTTGCTTTCCTACCCTCGGGACCCTCCCCTCTCTCAACCCTCCACTCCTCACAGCTCACGACCCCACTCTTATCATCCTCCTCTTCTCCCTCAACCTTCACACATTCTCCAAATATCTCTTCACATTCTCAAACATAGCTACAGTTGCTCTCTCAGACATACCCGCAATCAGTGCCATTCACTCTTTGATTGTTTTCTCATACCCCACTTTGTTATTGTTAATCTCATCTCCCCCATTCAGAATCACCTCCATCATAGACTGACGCTCTCTCTCAACTCTCATATGCCCCACATTCCATCAACAAGTGTGCTCCAGTTTCCTTCTCTTCCCCAACAAACATAAAACATTCACATTATGTCATTATTGTTATATTAGTTGACTTTCTGGAGAAATCTTGCAAATGGGCCTACTGCCCAGTGCCTAATTAATGTTTTTGTAGAGTTATGAATCTTGTATCTCAACTATGAAATATATTACTACTCCAAAGTCATTTATTTTGACTTTTCATGTAAATGACATATGTAAGTAAAAATATTTTTGGATAATCTTCAAGTCAAATGGGAGGTCATTGTTCATTGTTTGGAGCCTAGACGTTTCATGTGGATTGTGAAAACTCAGTTTATTCAAGTATTTTTTTAAAGTGATAAGCATGCATTATTTTACTTAAAAACATATTCTTATTATTAATACCAAACACAGATATCCCACCTAGCCATCTTCTTAATTCATTAGTAAAACTTCCAGTATTTTTGATGAAGAAGAAAAATTTTGCTGAAATAATCATGTGATGACTTCACTGCCAGAATGTGCAGCATTTTAATGAACTGTTGACAGTATTTGGTGCTGCATTCAGATGTGTTTGAGCTGCTTATCTGCGGAGGTGTGGTGACGGTGCTCCATATCTCTTCACGCAGGCCCCACTAGGTAGGTGGGCCTTAAACCTCTGCCTTGCCACTTTCCAGCATTTTCTTAGTGTTATATTTCTATAGGTAATGTTACTGCAGTTACTAATTTGAATGATTTTATAAATGGTTCTGTGTATATTGTGTTTCATGTGAAATTGTTTCAGAACCTCATTTATTTGCTTAGGTTCTTAAGGCTTGCATCCTTGGGAATGGCAGTGATGGTATGCACTCTACAGTACATCTCTCTTGCAGTCAAAACAACTGTATAAAAATTTTACAAAATACATGAAAATTCCATAATGACCAGTTTAGCTAGCTGCATGGAATACAAATCAGATTGTACTCAACATGGATGTCACACTTACAATATCATGTTATTCTAGTACTTCTAGTAAAATTGCATAGTCATTTCTTTATCCATTAAACTAAAAAAAAAATTATATTTCTTTGTGCAAACCCATTATTTCTCTTCCCTACATGTAGTGAAAACTAGGTACCTCTGAGAATTGCTATGATTCAGAGATTGAAACACCTGTCAGAACAAGATACTTTGATGTCAACTAAGACTATCATAATGTAATTTCAATGGCTTCTAGTGATTGATATGATGCCTTGATAGGAAAAGCTTGTCTCTTAATGTTTATTTAACACTTTGTCTTGTTTGTAATGTATATATTGCTTGTTTGTCTGAAAGTGTTAAAAATAATAAAGCAATATGTAAATTTTTTGAAGAAGTTTAATTGCTAGGACATCAAGAGATGTTTGATGGCATTGATGTGAAGAATGTAGTTTGTAATTTTGGTGTATATATATACCTGACAAGGCACCTAAAGAGCTGCTAACCTCTCACCAAATTACATACCCAAAAATAAGAATGCTTGTCTAGTTAAAAAATTGTAATGTTTATCTGTTTCAAAAACAGTAATGTTTATCCAGATGGCTTGTGGAGGGTGGGACTCGAGCAGCCTGAGCAGCGCAGACAACGTTAGCAGCGTGGGGGGCGCGGCAAGTGTCCACAACTTGGGGGGTGGGTTAGGGCCTCTAGGTGGGGGACTTGGTCCTCTGGGTGGTGGCTTAGGCCCCATTGGTGGTGGGGTTGGTGGGGCAAGTGGGCTGGAGATGAGGTTGCGGGCAGGCGTTGAAGCTGATCGGCGCCAGCAGGCCGAGAATTGTGCTAAACTCAAAGCTGTTCACACGGCAGCCAACTATGATGACTTCAGGCAGATGGTCTTGGGTGAGTCAACTGCTACATATACTTAATATTCATATGTTAGTTGACACAGATTTTCTTAATCTTGGCTTTACAATTTTTCATGACTTGTCTTGTGAGTTTCATGAGAAAAAAAGTTTGTAAAATAGCAGCCATGTTGTAATAAATTGTTGCCCCATTTGCCTGGCCGGTCATGCTGTGCCTTTATTGCTTGTGTTGAGCCCCAATGAACTAATTGTTGGTAGTTCTTTAAGACTACTTGCAATGGTCTTCAAATGTTCTGATTTAAACTATTTAATTGGAGATTAAGGCTACTGGTGTACAAATAATGTCTTGTTTTTTGTCTTACGCTTGCATAACTGGTGTGCAGGTGCACAGCTCCGGCCGCTGGAGCGCACCTGTGCTGGCAAGCCACGCCCGTCCATTTGGAACAGCCTGGCCAACTCTGCCTCCAAGCGCTGTGCCACTAATGGCACTGCCACTAATGCTGCTACTGCCACTAATGTCAGTAGCAAGCAGCTCCTGCACCACCACCCAGAAAACTCACCCTACCCCGCGGACGTCAACTATGTGAGTGGTAACTGAGGGAACAATTACTGGGAGTTGGCTGTGGGAGAATTACCTAGTGATGGGGGAAATTTTTGTATTGAATGTTTGGGGCTGACGGTATTAAGTGTGTTTGCGTGGAGGATGAATGTGTACGGGAGTTGTGATCTATATTTTGACATTAGCAGTGGTCAAATGGGCAGGGGCCCAAAATATGAGTTCATTGAGTTCAGGTTCAAAAGCCCACAAGAAGCAAACAATGTACGATGTTGCCAGTAGGTGGGGGCTTACAGTGTGGCCGTGTGCGCTGCAGTGAAGCAGTTATAAGAGTTTTCATGTCACCCCTTTTATTATGTGAACACTTGAATAATTTTGTGAACCTTTTCGTTTGATCCTCGTAATATCTGTATTAGAGTTCATCATTCAGATCATGCATGATGATATCCCAATTATCTTGAATATCCTGATACGATATGTATTGGGAACGGAAAAATACTTATGCCATAGAGTTTTACACGGCAGGACTAGTAAACTACATTACACAGACTAGGCTTAAGCCTGATTGTGGTAATGGCAAACAATTATTTGATGGTTACCCACACCTCCATTATGATAGGGTTGGTGCGGCCCCTAACAGCCCTTCTGTATACAGGACCCTTTTTCTCCCCCCTCCACTATAATGGGGTTGGTGCATCCCCTTACAGCCCTTCTGTATACAGGACCCCTCCTCTCCCCCCTCCAATATGATGGGGTTGGTGTGTCCCCTTACAGCCCTTCTGTATACAGGACCCCTCCTCTCCCCCCTCCAATATAATGGGGTTGGTGTGTCCCCTAACAGCCCTTCTGTCCACAGGACCCCTCCTCTCCCCCCTCCACAACGGAGGGGTTAGTGCGGCTGTGGGGGCGGCTGGACCTGGCGGAGCGTCTGGAGCTGGTGCGGGGGTTGGGGGGCGGTGGCGTGGAGCGGCTGGCGGGGGGGCTGGTGGCTGGGGGACTACTGGGGGACGCCATCACTACCCTGCTGGCGTTCACCCCCACCGCGGGAGACGTGGTCATGGTGGTTGCTCTGCTGCACGCGCTCACTCAGGCCAAGAGGTTACCATTACCCCTTATGTTACAATTACCTTACCCCTATATTACCATTATCTCACCCTTATGTTACCATTACCTTACCCTTATGTTACCATTACCCCCTTATGTTATCATTACCTTACCCTTATGTTACAATTACCTTACGTTTATGTTACCATTACCCCTTTATGTTANGTGTGTGGGGTTGTCTCATGGTCCCCTCATGTCCCCAGGTTCAGCCTGAGTGTGCAGCTGGTGTGTGGGGTTGTCTCATGGTCCCCTCATGTCCCCAGGTTCAGCCTGAGTGTGCAGCACGTGTGTGGGGTTGTCTCATGGTCCCCTCATGTCCCCAGGTTCAGCCTGAGTGTGCAGTTCGTGTGTGGGGTTGTCTCATGGTCCCCTCATGTCCCCAGGTTCAGCCTGAGTGTGCAGCTGGTGTGTGGGGAGGAGCGGTGGGCGTGGGGACGGCTGCTGGAGAAGCTACAGCTGGTGCTGGCTGAGCGACCTCAGGATCTGGCAGAGCTCAACGTGACGGAGTGGACGGTAGTTCAACTCAGAGCAAAGTTCAACTTGTGAATCACTTGGTGATGATGCAAAGCAACTCCCCTCAACACAAACCAATGCCTTGTCTCTCAAGCGTAACGCCTGTTCACTTTCAGTCACCTCGGATGTAGGGCAAAAACGTCCCACCTTTTGCAGAAGTTTGACTAAGAAGCTATCAATGTAACTTATTATTATTATTACCCGAGAGTTATGTCTTCGTTCAATAATATTTTATCAGTTACCACTGATTAGATTCATTATTTGTACAAGTCACTAGCATCAAATGGCAACGGCAGTATTAGGTGACTTCCATGCTTTAAAAGCCAGTACATCGTCAATTTTCGTGACAAGATGTCGATGATATTGCGGTGTTGTCTCTCCGCTGGAATATTCAGTGCAAGATGTATGCATTACCACTCTCGTGCAGTGAGCAAAAAAATTAATAACTTAAATTTATCCCGTAGCCAGAGCTATTTTTAAGCCTGCAATTGACGTCGTTTTAAGTGGTTTTTGTTGGCAACTATTTTAATGCGTAGTAAAGTAGACACTGCCTAGTTAATTAAGTAACGTCGCAAATGTGTGTATGAATATGTAAATGTGGCCGAATGTGTAGCGCAGCCGAGGCTGAAGCGTGCAGAAGGTTGGCTGAGACTTGCGCCGTCTATACAGTGCGCTTTGTATTGTAGCCTCGTATCAAAGCAATGGATCTCGAACATTCCACCTTGTCACTTAATTTGACGTCACAACCACCACCACTTGTCTAAATAAATGATGCATAGATAAATTAAGCACTCGTCTGTCACCCCGAACAATGGATAGAGGAGTCCTGGTCTGGACTCGCTGTACTAGAAGATAAGTAATTCCTTTGCGTCCATAGAGACCCGAGCCGTACATTCAAAACTCGCTTCAGTACATATAACGGCCTAAGTGTACGTGGCGGCGTATCTCTTTTCCTTGATTGGTGAGTTTTGCTTGAAAATCTGTCAAGAGATTGACTAACGGAGTCAAGATAATGAGGCCCCAGCGCTACAAGCGCCCAAAATGGCTCAGCTCTACTTGGACAACGCACACACACAAATGACACAATGTCCTACATGTCCCAGCTCTACCACGTGTTCAGGTAGAGCCCTACACGACTCAGCGCTACCACATGTTCAGGTAGAGCCCTACATGTCCCAGCTCTACCACGTGTTCAGGTAGAGCTTTAGATGACCCAGCTCTACCACATGTTCAGGTAGAGCCCTACCACATGTTCGGGTAGAGCTCTAGATGGCCCAGCTCTACCACATGTTCAGGTAGAGCCCTACACGACTCAGCTCTACCACATGTTCCGGTAGAGCCCTACATGTCCCAGCTCTACCACATGTTCAGGTAGAGTCCTACATGTCCCAGCTCTACCACATGTTCAGGTAGAGCCCTACATGTCCCAGCTCTACCACATGTTCAGGTAGAGCTATAGATGGCCCAGCTCTACCACATGTTCAGGTAGAGCTATAGATGTCCCAGCTCTACCACATGTTCAGGTAGAGCTATACATGGCCCAGCTCTACCACATGTTCAGGTAGAGCCCTACACGACTCAGCGCTACCACATGTTCAGGTAGAGCCCTACATGTCCCAGCTCTACCACATGTTCAGGTAGAGCTATAGATGTTCCAACACTACCACGCTACTAAGTAGTGCTCAGCTCTCAAGCGGCGCTTGCTGCACAACGTAAGCTTCAATTTTGTGTTTCATTTTCATCCGGCGCGGGATTAACAGGACATAAAAACTCTACATGAAGAGATATTCAATAATTAAAATATATATATTTGAAAAAACAATGGTGACAAATAGTGACAGCGGGAAGTTGCTGGGCCCAATTTGTGCCTTCTTGCAAACGAAGTTGGTTCCGCTACACTAACAAGATTGTGGCCTCGGCAATCACGAAGGAAAGAACAGTCAACAATTACCCACAGTCGCTCGACGAGACATGCTGAGCCACGAGACATGCTAAGCTATTCGAGACATGCTAAGCCACGAGACATGCTAAGCTATTCGAGCCAATGCTCTTCATATTAAAACCAAAACTAGTGTGAAATGAAACAGTGGTTACGGGCCCTGACAGCAAGCCATGAAGTATATTATTGTGTTAAATAGTAGCTTTATAACTTTAATCGCGGTTATAACTTACGCTATAATGGTGACGACCTTAAGAAGAAGCAATGAACTTCGAGGGACAAGAGTAATGATACTCTTAACTACTCACAGTTTCCCTCGTCCTAACTCACTAGCTGCCTCGTACGAATAGCTCGGGTCAATTTCGTCCCGTTAAGATTTACAATAAACGCTATTATAAATAGAAACGCACGGCTGTGCTTGTACAGCGCTTCTCAATTATTAATATTACACGATTTCATAGCATCGTGTATCAACGCTGATATTAATAGACACGCGCTTTTTGCGGCTCTATCTTCTCTCATACTTCCAATAATCAACGTTTAAAATTCAGGAGCAAAATATTAACTTCATGACAGCGGTGGCGTGTAACGAAACTTCCATTATAACAAAGACTAAAAACGAAACGTCCTTACAACAACATTGTTGTCATGACAGTACACATGGCAGCACACATGCCATGACTGTACACATGGCAGCACACATGCCATGACTGTACACATGGCAGCACACATGCCATGACTGTACACATGGCAGCACACATGTCATAACTGTACACATGGCAGCATGCATGTCATGACTGTACACATGGCAGCATGCATGTCATGACTGTACACATGGCAGCACGGATGTCACCACTGTACACATGGCAACATGGACGTCGGTCCCTCTTATACTAATAACTTCACCCAAACATAAGATAATGTGGTCAACGTTTCTTAACATACAACATAAACTTAGTGCTACATGAAATGGCGGGCTTAGGGATAGAACTACGAGCTGGCTTAGGTAAAGAAACTAGGAAAAAGATGGTTTAGGAAATCGCTGGCTTGGAGTAGTGCAGGTATAGGAGCTGGTTTAGGAGGTCGCTGGCTTGGAGTAGTGGAGGTATAGGAGCTGGCTTAGGAGGTCGCTGGCTTGGAGTAGTGCAGGTATAGGAGCTGGCTTAGGAGGCCGCTGGCTTGGAGTAGTGCAGGTATAGGAGCTGGCTTAGGAGGCCGCTGGCTTGGAGTAGTGGAGGTATAGGAGCTGGCTTAGGAGGTCGCTGGCTTGGAGTAGTGGAGGTATAGGAGCTGGCTTAGGAGGCCGCTGGCTTGGAGTAGTGCAGGTATAGGAGCTGGCTTAGGAGGCCGCTGGCTTGGAGTAGTGCAGGTATAGGAGCTGGCTTAGGAGGTCGCTGGCTTGGAGTAGTGGAGGTATAGGAGCTGGCTTAGGAGG